GTAAATTTGAGATGAGCTGGCAATTCTACAATTGAAATTAATTAGAAAGAGTAATGACAGGTTTTATAAAGAATAGGTAAATTGCACAGGTTCAAACATTCACACAAAAATTATTAATATTTTGTTTTTAACATTGTAGTGAATCTGTTCGTTAGAGTAGTATAGTAAATACTTTGCTTCAAATTGCTTCAAATTTAACATAAGTTTTATATTAACAATGCATTCAAACTGTAAAATGTATTTTCAAGAAATTGGGTCTGTTGGACATTTCATAAGCCATATGTATACAAATCATGACGTGAGAAAATTATTGTCAGCGCAAGTAACGATTTGATCGAAAATTTAAATTTATGACAAACAGATATACATCAAGTGCAAGCTTTAGTCTTGTTTATCTTGTTTATCTTGAATTTTCAGATGATTGGTTTGCCATAGCTACTATTTAAGATACGTACATATATAATCCTGTAGAGATGTTTTTCTGTGATTTTTCGTTCTGGATCTGCAGATCCCGAATATAGTGTTATCGTTGTACAGTGAGTCAAGGCGCTGAATTGGTTGCTTCATTTCCCAGTTACTTGCTGTCTACATATTTGCTTTTCTCTGTGGAGTATAATACTGAATATTGTAGATAATATATGGTAATTATTTTTATATTAATTTGATACTAATATTATAATTAATGAATTAAATATTTAGTACTGGATCTTAAACTATATAATATTATGTGAACTATAAAATAAGTAATGATACGATCAGGTTCCAAACTCAATACCAGATTCACAGTTTCATTAAATGTTAATTATAACATGAAAAATTTTAACCTTGATCTAAATCAAAAAATTTTTATTCCAGGGGAATTTTATATTCAAAATTTGTAAATAGTCAAATTGCAATTTAACGATTTTTAAAATGTTTCGAATTCAACATACGAGTATCTTGACATTTTTAACCTTACAAGAATTCCTTCATGTTTATACCTTTGGGATTTTACGTGCATGTATCACAATAATCAATTGAATAATTCAAAAATCTAAAAAATTTCCAATTCAGTGCATTTTTTGACATTTATTCTATTATGACAATACTATGTATAAATAAAGTTGCTATAGGAAATTCATATGCAATATATAATTTGGAAGATATTAGGAATTGCATTGAGTGGACCCTTAATTTTTTGCTTGATTTTTTAAATTTTATTCCTTTACAATATGAATGGACATTATGTATATGAAAATGCAAAAATTTTACTATCATGCTGAGAATTTTTTGTAACGTTTTTCTTTTGTTTTTGGTACATATAAAATTCGCGCTGTTGTAAAAATGTTCAAAAATGTAGAATAAAAAAGTGATGATCTTTGACCTCCTTAAATTATAATAGATTTTTCAAATAATTTTTTACCTCAATTGTCAATTTTGTAAAACGTTTCTTTTTTATTTCAATTGCAAATATTTTTTAAAATAAAATTTGATTTTAACAATGTTGAATTTCGGATTATGTATGACTTTTTTAAAGAATGAAAGAAAATTTTGGGGAAATAACAATATCAAATAACAGAAAGAAAATCTGGAATTGAAGCGAACTATCAAAATGAGTTCAAAATTGAAAATTTTGTCAATTAAAATGTTATTTTGTAATTTTGCCAAAATTTTTTACAAAATTAATTAATTTTTCTTATTCCATAATAAAATTTTGTTGAAAATTAAAAAATTTAGAAGATCAAGACTTTCTCAGTGTCGGATTCAAATCTCGGTCGGATCATTAATCATTACTTAACAGAAATTAAATTAGAGGATTTTTAAGCAAGTTTTAGTGGAATTTCATTTTAATAGGATTCTGCGGCCTAGATTCAATAGAATTCTCCATTCTCTAATATAATAAATTATTAAAGTTGTAGAATGCTTCAACGCAAAGAAAATAGTGTCTATTAAAACAAAATTATAATTATTAAAATTGTAGAATTTCTGAAATTTCAATTCTAATATATCTGTATAAAGAAAACTAGAAGATGGGAAAAACTAAAAAAAGTGTAAGTAATCTCTTTTTATTACACAAAATTACTCGTGTTTATTGCAAATTATCTTCTGAATTTTGAACTTCTCTTATATTAGTTATTCTAATCTTTTAAAATATTCAAAAGTAAAAACTCAAAGAACAAAAAAAAAATTTGTTTATTGCAGGTGGAAATTCGAAATAGTGTTAAATGTCCTTCAAAAGAGAAATAAAATTCCAAATAATTTTCTAAAACTTTAAATTATAATAAGAAATTGTGTTAAGAATTGTATATGCTTTTCCACATTGATATTATTATTTTTTAGATTTTCTAAACTAATTTACAGTATGATATAGGAAAATACTACCAAATAAAGTGAAAGAATGAATTTCATATACCACAAAACTTATATAAAATTACAAATTTGTAAGTATAAAACTTTTTGTAAGACAAAATTTTCAAATGAAAATTGGCTATATTGTGATTATTTGACAAAATAAATCAAACTTTCAATGAAGTTCAAGGCTATTATGAAAACGATGCCTGTAAAAAACTTGAAAAAAATTAATATTTTTAAAAGAATTCAACCAAAATCAAATTTCAATGTATGTTTTCCTATGGTTGATTTTTTCAGGATTCAACTGCTTGGTATTTATTTTTCTTTCTAATTTTGTACTTTTAAATTGTTCAATTTGTGTGTATTTCATGGAAATTATGCCATCGTTTCGTGTTTCATGTTCTCACCTTCATATCGATATAATGTGAATATTAAGACTATGTATTTAAATTATTCATCTTTCTGACATAATTTACTTGGATTATTAAAAAGTTAAGCAAAAAAATAACACAAAAAGGAAAAGTATAAAACTTTTCATCAAATATACAATTTAAAAAAATTATAAAACAGGACCAAACCAATGAAATCGTCAGCGCAAATCATCAAAAAAAGAAAATAAAGAAAAAGTTTTTGGGATTATTTTCACTGTTTAAGATTAATCTTAAACTTGCACAGAAATATAAAAACAAAAAAATTAAAAACTTGTTAACTTGAATATTCAAAAACGCCGCTATTTAGGCAAAAAAAAACATTGCATGTATATATATCAGTTTTTAAAATGATGGAGAAGGTGGAGCAGAGTGCAAATGTATAGGTGTTAAAAGAAATTAACTTATAAAAAAGTTGTATCAGCGAATCAGCCATACATGCCATACCACAGATTTATTGGAGTTTATTGTGAAGAAGAATTCTCATGTAATCAGAAGGATAAAAGGATATTACGTGAATTTTATTTAATAAGTTTTATGAATAGGAGAAGATTTAAATTATTTTTAAGACTTTTGCATTCATTTTTTACATCATTATTTTTTGAATGTGAGAAACAGATTTTTTTTTATTATTATTACTCAAAGTTTAATTGAAGTAATCAAATTATGTGTGGGAAGAAAAAAGAGAAAAAGTAAATTTTATTATTTATTTTTTTTTGTTTTATAATGTCAGTCTATATATTTAATTTTACGTGAGGTATATTTATATGTATCAATGTATTTATAAATATATTGCCTTAATTCTTAATGTAATTCGTGATTCCAACTGATTAATGGACGGTCAGAATTTGTGGAATTTTTTACTAATTCAAATTATGTAAGTTTATTTGCTCTCAGATTTATAGTTAAAGGATGCGAATTTTTTTCGTTTATTTAAGTACGAATAATTATTTTTTGGGAATATTTTCAAACATATTTGCATTGAGATTAATTATACCCATAGGCATAGCTCTATGATTTCATGTATATATTAAATATCATTTATTAAATGATTCGTTTTCGAGAAAAAAACCAAAATTTCACTATTTATCCATAACGCGTATAAAGCATAACTTAGTTCTAAAGTCTAAATATTTGTATTGCATATAGTGTTTGGAGTTATAAGTATAGGAGTGAGTTGATCATAGCACGTGTAAGGTAATCATATTTATTTTTTAGATCTTACATGTTTTGTATATGAAACTGCAAACTTATAGAAATTTACAAACTAATCTTAAAAATTTATCTTTCTAAACTCAAAATTGTTTTACAATACAATACATATCCGGTTTTTTAGTTTTATTATAAATATATTAATTTCTAAAAATTTTTAATTATTTTTTAAGCGTACCTTTGAATTCATTTAATTTTTTACTGTTGTTTATTTCATCTAGTAAGGTGTTGCATATTCTTATTGCACTGCACTTTAAACCATTTAATTTCATAGTTGAAGTCGCTCAAGGTACCATTAGATGCTTTCTGTATTTGGTGCAGAGAAATTTTTTAAACACATTTTGCATTTTCAAAGTACATATTATATGAGAGTATTTATAAATAGTTCATACTGCAACTACAAATAACGCGAGTATTTATTAATAGTTCTGCACTTCAAATATCAGTATGACATACTTGTGTAAAAACTTGATTACGATACATTTTAATTAAAAACATTTATGTACATACATGAAAATAATTAACAAATATTGATTGAATTACCCGTATTCTCGCGTTGACTTAATAGTTTGATAGTTTTATTATTAATACTAAATTTTTTATTAACATTTAATTTAATAAAATTTTAAATGTTATGTATAACAACTTAAAAGTAGAACCATTTTAAACGTACGATCATTTTAATTATTCAATTTCAAGGTGAGTTTTGTTATGATTTTCAACATGCTCATAATGGCAATAAAAGAGGTTATCTTGTTGACATAAATACACATATGTACATATAGAACTATAATATAATTATTTATATATATTATGTGTGTTGATATGTTGAAAAACAAACGTTATGATAAGATAAACATTTAATTTTTTATATATGATACCTGATATTTTGTGTATTCAAGCGATATGAAATTTATTTTGATATTTCTAGCAGTTGACAAGTAATCGCGTCATTAAAATTATGTAGTCGATAATATTACTTCATTCTGATAAAAACTAATTCTTAAATCTAATTCTTAATCGAAAATATTTTGTAGTTTTCAATTGCAATATGGTGTTAAAAAACTCTTTTATATTTATAACTAATTAAAATATAATATAAAAATTAATATTTCTGTGTTTAATATTAGAAATTTTCTAAAAGAAGTTAGAAATATTTGAAAAAAAAAACTGCATTAAGTTTGATTTGAAATTTTTATATATTTTTTGACCTAAACCGACCAATTAATTATTAATTTTAGTTTTTTAAATATTTTTACAATTTGATTTATTCACAATAATAAAAAATATTAAAATGTTTACTGATTTTGTCGGAAATTTGGCATGTTCATTGTCATTTGGGCATTCTTTGGTAGTTGTAGCCAAAACAATTGATGGTGCTAAAAGGTTTTTATTTTTAAAGATTATATTTTTATTATTCATTATTAATTAAAAAAGTTTATATTTATATAGATTTAAAATAAATTTAAGAACAAGTAAATTACCAACATCTGATATTGGATTACAATTACACGCAAAATTCACTGAAGATATTATTATACGTAGAACAATGATAAATGAAGAATGGTTAGATGAGGAACGTGTTGAAAATTTAGATGATAATACAGCATTAAATCCAATTGTTTCTGGAGATTTTTTTGTTATATGTATATTTGCTGGTGAAAATTCATTTCATATATCAGTTAATAATCGACCATATTGTATATATAATTATCGTTTACCAATTGAAAATATACATTGTATTGAAATATGTGAACAAATACAAACAATTAAACAAGTTGATCATCGTGCATCATATCCATATGCATGGCCACCAATACAAACAATATGGAATAAAGTACAATTTAATCATGATGTACCAATAATGTTTTTACCAGGGCATATAATTTTATTAACTGGCTTATGTTTTGGTAGTCCAAAAGGATGGTTTACAATAAAATTTTTTGAAGCTGGTACAAAACGTGAATTATTACATTTTAATCCAAGATTTCCAAATCAAGTTGTTGTTAGGAATGCAATGAAACCAAATTTAGAGTAAGTATTAATTATATTGAGTATAAAATAAGACTTTTGGATTAGATCTATATTTGTGGTACTAATATAATTTAAATTTTAGATTTGGTGAAGAAGAACGTAGTGGCGGTTTTCCATTTGTTTTTGATCAACAATTTACCGTAGCAATTGCAATTACTGAAAAAGAATTTTTATTTGCTGTTGATGGTCGAAGATTTTGTAATTTTGTTTATAGATCATCAGATCTATTACAAAATTTAGTTGGTATTAAAGTTACTTCAGATTATGGTATGTTTGTTAATATAACAGCAGTTGATCATTTTCAAATGCCTGATAAAGCTTGTGTTAATTTTGAAAGTTTTTGTAAATAAAAGATTTTAGAATTACTTTTCCTTAACAATGAAAATGAAAATTTTGCCATAGGGATTTTTTGTTCAATTTTATTTTCTGTACAAATACAGGAAGAAGTTAAAGATTCCTTTTTTTCGGATAAGTAAATAACGATAGTATATAGCAGAATTGCTATACTAAATTTTTTTTCTTAATACCCAATAAATAATAACATGTAACTAAAAAGATATTTCATGTGATTACAAAAATATTTATGCCTCAATTGTACAATTATTTAAATTTACAAAGGCGTAAAAGAATATTTAATTTTTTTCCTTTAAAAAAGATGATAGTGTCCTTATTCTCAATGATGATTTCAAGCAATTGAATTAAAATACATATTTTGGTTGATATTTTTATAATAAAAAATTACAATAGAAAACTCTGCTTGACCCCATTCAAATTTTATCAAACTAAAACTTTTTTTTTGCTATCAATCAAATCAAAAATTTTTTTTTTATTTTTTTTTTATTTCGTTCAAAATTTAAATATTTTCTCATAATAATTTTATGTTTATTCAATATTTTAACAAATTTGAAAAAAAAAAACGACAAATTCTTTTTTTTTTCCAATTGTATTTATGACAGTTTTTAATAAAAACTTTCAACAGAAAGAAAATAAGGACAATGAAACTTATATGCATGCATCTATTTATACGTATATCCAAATAGATCCTTAGTGCTGTTGATATAATTAAAATTGTATTGACATATTTTACCGTATTAAAAATCACTTATCACTAGAACCAATCAATTACAAAGAAAAAATTATTTATATATAAAAATCTATGAAAATGATGGGTTCGATTAAAATCAAAGTAGTGTTAAAGGAAAGAAAAAGTTTTAGGAAAAAAGGACTCCCAATATATGTACGAGTAAGTATAAACGAATTATGTAAATTTGTAAATTCTTGTTTTGGTAACATACATAGTTCTGATTTAATAATGTTTTAAAATATGATTTTTATATTTTATGGTAACATATAAAAAACATTCCTTAACAATGACATTAAAAAATAAAAAAAAAATAAATAAATTTATTTAGAACACTTTAAATTTAAATACAATTGTAATATTTTGCTTTTTTAGTTTCATCAAACATGTGTGACAGGTAATAACAGTTAACTACATTTTCTTTTAAGAGATACAGAAATCCGAATTATTTTGAGACGAACATTCGCTTGGACTCTTTTTGTTCCTACGAATTAAAATATCTGCAAATACCTGGCGTAAATATTTAACGTTTGCGGTTAATAATTCTGTTGTGTATTCTGAGAATGACTATAAAAGCATGAAACACAATGTCAACTTAGATAATGATATAATTTTAACAGTGATTAGAATATATTTGCTTTAGCATATTTCATAGCAATATCTCATAGGTATTTAACTATCTGGGAATCAACATTTCAACAAAACATTATTAAATTGAAAACATTGCAAGACAAAACAATTAAAAACTGGTACAATTTAGACATTAGATCACCAACTAAAACAAACTTTTACAAGCTGTTCATATATATAAAATAATTAACAAACATAATAATATAAGCAACTCCATTTTGTACCAAGGCACTGAAATGCATAATTACAATACTAGGCATGCAGATGGTTTTAGAAGTAAAAGAGGTAACCTTAACATATACAATGAGTGCGTTAAAAAACATATAAAATACCATCCAAGCTAAGTCACAACAAAATATTGAATGATTTACAAAAGAATATAAAATTTTTTTTGAAAATTAGTAAGTCACTTTGAACTTTAAATATGTATGTTTCCACAAATTTTAATTTACTTACTACACAACCTTAAATGTAAGGAGTTGTTCTATTGAAGCGAATCTATTGTAATATTGCAAAGAAGTCACGTTTCGGAATGAAACTTTTCCAGTAACTTTTCCTTATCTTTTAATTCACAGTTTCAACTTTTTGTAAAAAAATCAAGATTTTATTTTGTCCGTTAAAGTGAGGAAACTGTTTTTTTTTTTTTATTTACTCTACTTAATCTCTACAAAAAAGGACTTTTTGTATACGAAGGAAAAGAAAAATTTAAATTTTTAGTTTTCTGTTTGTTTTTTTGTTCTTTTAGGATTTATCAAGGGGAGAAACGAATAATCTTACATGCTATTTGAATAACATATTTTTTACCTTTTCACCTGATGATCCTGTTCGATAAATACGTTACGAGTATTATGTTTTCATCACATATTTTACGTTCGATATAATATATGTACATACATTCGTACATATCAATATTTTATGCATTTACATATTGTATATGCTTAAACATAGTTTATGTGCGTACGTACATGTTCCACATGAGTGTATGCTTATTTTTGTATGTTAAATATAATCTATATTCACTTAAATATATGTTAGTACGTGCACAGAAGTCCTTGACAATTTGTTCAACTTTGATTTTGTTTTTTTTTTTTCATATATCAATTTGATTATTATCGCCATCATCATCAATATAATCTTCCTTATATTTTTATTCTTATATTGGTAAATTTTTTCCTCTTACACATAACATGTATGTATATGATTAAGGATAATGATAATTTAAAGAATATGTTTGAAGGACAATTGAATTAAGCATCAGTAAAAGTAAGTAAAATATAATTTTTGATGCATTATACAAGGTTTTTCAATTAAATTACTTATATTGGTTTAAAATAGCTCAGATGAAGTTTCCCAGTGGCAATCTCAGTTTCAATAATACGAAATTAATTTTGAGTGTTTGTGTTGTAAAGTGGGATATAGTGATTTCTTTTAGTAATAAATTGTGGTGTTGGTGTATAAGGCTTAAATTATTGATATTCTCAGAGCAAAATTGAATTTAATTTGCTTTCAAAAAAATTAAGCCTCCATGGAAATTATCATTAAATTTTTAAAAAATTTATATAAATAGTTTAAATTATTATATGAATAATTGCCATAATATTCGCAACGTCCGCAATACAAATGCTGTATACTGCTCATAAAAGTAAATAACAAATTTAATATACTGCTGGGCTTCTAAATATTATTCAGCTTAATACAACTGGCATATCACTTATACGAAAAACCTAAACTCATTCTCAGAAGTGTTTAAGGCTGCTCAAATCCACAATTGCATTTGGTAATAAAAGAGCTCTAAATTTCTGGAAGGAAAAAAAACATACCAAGAATGTAACATTAGTGTCGTAAATCCGAAATTGTCTTTTACATATTGAATAACATTGTATGTAGATTTTTCGTTTATGAAAGTATCTTTATTGTTACCTTTGAAAATTTAAATTTAATTAAAAATGTACAACCTCTTTCTTTAAGCTTTAACTTTAACTTTTCAGTAGAGTGAGAAAAAAAAAAATAAATTAATTTTTGTTTAAAATTGAAATGTTTGCAAACATTCAAGAAATTTATGTAAATTAAAATTGTTGGGTATTTTTAATGATTAGATTTTATTTTGATGTTTCAAGATTAGATTTTAGTTTGATCTTGTATCTTCTATATTTTTTATGAATTTAAAATAAATACGTTTAAGAATGCTGTGGTGTTGGTGGGCAGTTGTGACCAGAAGCGATATAAGAAAATAATATGAATATGTTGGAACCAGGTGAGAATATTCACGGGTCTACTAATGGGACACTGTCGACTCTTGGGGTTACATGAAGAATCTGGGCCTCGAAGGCGAGGCCACCTGCGAGTTTTGTTAGGAAATTGAGAAGATTTTGATGCACTTTCTCGGTGAGTTTGGAGCGTAGATCTAAAGCAGAATAAAGCTTCTGGGTGGTTATATCTGTGCAGCTAAGGATCTGGGGAAAGTAGATCACTATAATATACTTTGTTTTGTCAGAAGGATAGATCTCGAGGGAGGCGTGATAGCTGGAATAGGATACAATAGATCATCCACATGCATTGTATATGGTTGCAATGCATTGTTTACCCATGTTTAGTCTAATCTAAGCCAATCTAATCTATTGTCCAAGTTTAACTCATACTTATGTTCTACTTTAAATGATTTAAAAATTTTTCAATTATTATTTTTTTTAAATTTACCTGCAAGAACTAAAAATATTTTCATAAAATCCTTATCCAGTCCACTTACATACATATATATTAACAAATCAATTTTTTATTTTTCAGTTTATTACATCTGGTATATAGATGTAATTACGACGGTATAAGCTTCTCTAAACACAGACTTTTCCTTCTCTATATATTTCTTAAACACTTGAATATTTTGATTTTTCCATTTCCACCGTTATATTATTATGTATTTCCATTGTTTTTTGGTTTTTTTTTTTCTTGTTGGGTTTTATTTAGCCCGTACATATTTTAAGGGTTTCTCTATATACTTATGTTTCTAGTTAACCTTTAAAGGATACTGTATAAAACTGTTCATATTTATTTGCTTTTGTTATTTCACCTTAGAATTTAAAATTATTGTTACTTTTAGAATGCGAGAGGTAAAGACTATCCTGTAATTTTATTTTTTTTTTTGGTTAATTCAAAGATCTTAAAGATTCAAGTGAAAAATAGATACAAGCACGAAATCCTGATTGATGAGAAATAAAATAAAAAGAGAAAAAACAAAAACGAATGACAAAAAAAATAAAAAATTAAATAAAAAAATAGAAAAACAAGAAAAGAAGTGAAGAATAAGAAAAGAAAGAAAAATTTAAAGTAAAAGAAAAAAAAGTTTTACGCGTATTTATTCACTCTTTGAATCGCGCGTTTTGCATTCTAGCCGCCATTTCGAATTCTTATTCTTATTTGCTTTCTTTGGCTTAGTTTTTCCCATTTCTTTTTGTAAAATGGTTGGGGATTCAAACAAAATTATACTTAAAAAAAGAAGGAAAAACAAAAACAGGAAAATAATGAAAATACAAAAACAAAAGTTTGAAATCATTAAAATGACAAAAGATTTTCCAGGTTACGGAAATAAAGGATCTTCTAAAGATTTTTTAATATTTGTATAAAAGTGTGTGTATGTGTTTG